TGGAAACAAATGAAAACGTACAGCTCTGCTATCACTTCCAACATAAATGAAGACAGAAAACTAAACAGCAGTGACGTTTGTAGGGTTACTGAAGTTTGGCTAGCTGGTATATAATGATTTGCTACGTGACCGCTAGCGACACAGCTATGTTAGCATAATATAAACAAGCAAACTTTTTTCCACTCGATAAAAGTTAATGTGAGTGTTCTCGGTGGTCAGGAACAAATGTAATCGCATGGCAGGATGCTGTAAATGGACCAAACTTCAGCCAGGAGAACAACTGAGATAATCCATCCACAATACGAAGTTAGTCATTCATATACTGCTGCATGGGCTGGGCTGTAGTTACATCGTAAGGTTTTAAAAACTGAGCTTAAATAAATGAATAGGGTAATAAAAGCCGAGGGAGGTCAACAGTGATCACTGACTGTTTTAGGAGCTTTTTGAGATTAAATAGAAGAAAATACAAAACATTAAACATGTTAACAACACAAAAGTCATATTAAACGCAGACTACTTTTTTTTTTTTTTTTTTTTTTTTAAACGCAGACTACTTTAGGCCCGGAAGTAGGATTCGTCACGTCATCACTTAACAATCGGATAGCCAATGATAGACATCTGCGCATCATGATGACCCCTCCCACTCGATTTGTTCTCCTGGTCATGTGAGGAGGTGGGGCTACAAAAGAGCCACGCCTGACACTAATTCACTGAATTGCTGGAAGGAAACGTTTTGTTTCCGAGGTGTCCTAAATGCAACGTGAGATCGGTAAAACGCCTTTGAATAAAAAGTAAAAATGGGGACACATGATGCAAAATAGCTCTCTGCCTGTTGTTTTTTAATGTGGGTTATTGGGTTGCAGTTTTAACGAAGCGAGAGAGCTGTATGGTGTGAACTAATCTCTATTTAACCGGTCGCGGAAGTAGGTGTAAGGGAATCCTTTTGCTTCTCGTGTTAATCTCGGGGATGACGTAACTGTGGCCTCAAGTCACGTGCAACGCCTGCAACGTGCTGCATATGCTGTTCCATGATGCTGCTGGAACAAAAAAAAAAGGAAAGAAAAAGAACTCTGTGAACCCAACCTCTTCATCTAATAACAATACACTGAGAACGAGAACTGTGGAGGCTTCACTGTGCCAGAATAAATCACAGTATTTGATTAGAAAATTACTTATTATGATGTATTTAATATCATCAACTCAATTTATATACTATGATTGGTTTGTTGTTGTATCAAAAAATTGTTGCCTATATTCCTGATGTAAAAGATTTCACTGCACTTTACTTTTTGTAAATTACACCCCAAACAAGCCCGTTATCTGAAGCAGAGGAATAAATTGTTTGTTTCTTAACCATAGTAGTTGGCCGTGCCTCTCCAAAAGCTTCTGCGCTGTGTTCAGCTTTCTTGAGAATGAACATCAAAAGAATCTTTCAAGTCTTAATGAGCCTGTGGTATTTCCTTCATGCAATTATGGTCCAGTTACCACCAATTATGTGCCAGAACAGAGTGTACACAGGAGATTAAAGTAGAGATACAAAAGTGGGAGAGCAGCAATCGGCCTTCCAGACAACCTTATGACAGCACAATTAAATAAACATGGTTCATATTTATTCCCATTTCCTTTTAGAGCTTTAGTCTAATACCTTCTGAAGTCCTTTGTGCTATACAACCCATAAGATTCTCATGATTTCAAAAAAGATTTATTTTAAGAACTAATGACTAATATACTATTATACTATAACTCTTATCAGTGACCAGGACAAGTCACTGATGCTGTTTAGCACAGACCTGAACCCCGTGATCCAGCTCATTGCAAAGACTCGATACAGATACAGATTTAGAAGCAGACACCAAGCTTTACACAAAGAGGAAACAAGACATCAAATCACAAATCGACCTCACCAGGATCTACTGCAAGGATATCAGGATGTCCTAAAGATATAGTAACTCTGGTGATTGTCAGAAAGCCTTCCTACAGTAGATGGCTACAAGTTCCTAGACCACAAGTCAGTGAAAATCACGATGGAGATACTGAGGACGTCAGCTAGATACAAACATCTCCTGAAGTGAGCTTAGTCAGCCTTACATATATGGCCTACCAGCCACAGGAGGACATAGATAAAACAGATATGAAGACATAATGCAAAGTCCAGCACCCTAAGACTATACATTGTTGCAATAAAAAAGAGATAGGGTAAGGATTAGCAAGGGTGGGATCCACAATGGGGGATGAAATAAGGAGTTCATCAGAGGGATGACAGATGATGATGGGAAGGAATAAAAAATATAGTGGAAAACCAAGTCTCTGGGATATATCACTGGGACGTAGTGGAAGTGGGTGACATAATTGTTTATATTAGCTCTAATAAATGAGACAAATGCCAGAACTAAATTTCTCGTGTTGCTAAGGCTGTTCTTAACCACAAGGGGACCCTGTCCAAAATTTAACTTAAGGGTTTCTTATCAGATCCTGTAACGAATGAATATCTCCACCTCTGTGAGACTCAATAGCTGAAGTGGGTGACATCAAGAAATCCTCCTAGTGGTTAGAAATGGGTAGCCTGGTGAGCAGCACGGAGGCTACATATCTGATCCATAGAGCAGACAAAACCCAAGCTTCAGGCCCTGCAAAGATGAGACAGTCCAGAACATAAGAGCAGCAGGGAAGTAGGAAGCAAGCTAGGCAAAACTAAGTACATGGCATAGTGCAGAGGAAGACCTATTTATGGATTTGAAATCCCAAAGGTACAAACCTCCAACTACTTTTAGAATTCTCTTCTTCTTCTTCTTTTTCTTTTAGTGATCCCTTTGGAGTTGGCCACCGTGGATCATCTGCCTTGATCTTACCCTCTTCTGTCACACCAACCCTCTCCATGTCCTTTATCACTACATCCATGAATCTCTCTGTGGTCTATTTCTTTTCTTTCTGCTTGGCAGCCCCATATTTAACTTCCTGTGGCCAGTATATCAACTATTCCTCCTTTGCAACCAATATCACATGAGTGCTTTTTTACACACATATCAGAGCATCAAATATGCATTCATCAGGGTGTCTAAGCTGAAAATCGATATTTCCTAATAATGAAGTGGAAAACTGCAAGGGAAGCTCAGTATTAATTCTTTCTTTTCTTTTCTTTTCTTTTTGCAAATTTTGAGAGTTTAGCGAATTGGGAATTTCTTCTGAAAAGGGCTTTATCAATGGCCGTCCCCAGGATTAATGAATGAATTTAAAATTTCCATCCAAAATTCACCATATGTAAGAATTGGAATTTACATACATTCAACCGATTTTCATCTGGTATTGAGAAACTGCCCTGCTGAGCTATCAGGATTCTATATTGACCTTAAAAAACAGATGGTTGCCAGACTTAAAGGTTTTGTGTTGTTAAGGCTATCCTCAGCCATTTGGGGACGGTGACTGAGATTTAACCTGTAACTATCTGCACCTCTGGGAAACTGATATCATTCACTTATATCACTTTTATATCTTTGTGATATACAAACTATCAAAGTACACATAAATTTGCACATATTAGGCTAAGCATCCCTATAATATTCTATTCTTTTGATTATGTTAAAAAAAATAATTTCATTTAAACAGTGTAACACAGAAATGTGCACAGTTGTGTTTAATGGCAGACAATTAATGTAGTTCACATACAGTTCATATATGCTACATTATACAGTTGATATAGCAGCATACCCTGCTTCTAAGCCACATTGTCACTTGTGTTGATGTTTAGATTAACACCTGTACTGTTTTCTTTTAAAAAATAAAATAAAATAAAATAAAATAAAATAAAAGCTGAAAAACAGTCAAGTACTCAATTATGCTGATTCTTTTTGTTGTTCGCCATTAAAACAAAAGTCCAGTAGATGGCGCCACATTCCCACTGAATTCAGTAGATCAGCGTGCAATTAAATTAATAGAGTTTAACGTTCAAAGACAAATCTCTAATCGTTTATGATCGGTAATGGGTTTCAGGGTCAGTCACACAATGCATGCGAGCTTTCAAATTCAGGCCGAAGTCAGCTTTTTTTCTTTTTTCTTTCTAGTTATCGCAGCCATAAAATAAGAACGTATAATCTCCAGGAAAGTCTGTAAAACGCGTCCTTCCTACATGTTTCAGCTCAATAGTTTCCTTTTTGGACAAAACAGTTTCTGAGTGTTGGCACGTTTTGCTTGCCTTGAGAAATCTGCAGTTTTTCTTTTCTTTCTTTGTTTGGTGCTATGAAACATTCAGTCTGTAATGACAATAAGCTGGCCTAGATAC